TTTCAACATTTCCAATAAGCTTCTTATCAGAAGTACATTTAACAGGAAACCACACACATACATTCATCAGAATTTCAAGCGTCTTGCAATTAGTTAACATCACTGTCAACTCTACAGTAGGAACGCTGACTCTGGAACATGAAGTTGGCATGATATAACTAGACAAAAAAGGATAGAGAACTAACACTACTGTTCTGAACAGCAGTCAGCTAATCTTTCAGCCCTGCAAAAAAACTGTATTCAGCACCCTAAGCTGATACAAATGGTATCCTTTCTTTAAGGCCCGTATGTCCAGTCTGATTTTCTTGAAACAACACAGCAGCAGCAATTGCTTTAAGAGCTTGCATTAAGCAGATCTGAAGGCTCTCATCAACACCCAGGGCACACAAGTAAGTCCCAAAGGAACTGGAGCACAGTAGTTACTTCCTGATGTTTTAATGTAATTATACCCATAATATTTAATATAAACTACTTTACTCCCTAGAACTCCATAAAAGAAAGAAGTGGAACAGTTTTAAGAGTCCCCCAGAACAATCTGCAGAGCAGACACACTAAAAGAATTTTCCAACCAAAAAACCCACACTCATTGCCTGGAGAAGAAGCATACACATCAACTTCTGACCCTACCAGAAGACTCCTGGAATGCCTTAGGCAAGTCATACACCTGATTACTGTAATAAATGAGATAATATTCAATGGTTTTTGCATTCAGGAGTGTCAAGTGTTGTAGACTTCAAGGCACTTTTCTCACAGAGAGAGTTAATGATCAGTTACAGAGCATCACTTTCAGGTCAGCAGATCTCTATGACACTCCTGCTGAAAATGGGAACAATGCAGGAAATGGAAACAACAGGTATGTGTAAAGACACTTCTCATCCCGAAACAATTACTGGATTCTCAGGTGTTTCTCACCCTGAAGACTGAGATGAGCATTCCCATAATGCCTTTTTCAGAACTACTTTTAACATATTTGGTTTGGGGGACACTCAAAAATCCTGGCATAAACCTTTCTGGTACACTGCACAGAAAAAGTCATCTTCCCTGTTACTGAGTTTTAGCAATATCTCTGGGGAAAAAAAACAAGCAAAACTGTATTACTGATCATGTCTTGCAGCACGAACTTCAATTTGATCTCTGTGTTACTGTTTCTTCTTCAAGTTGCTTAAAAATAAGTAAGTCATAGAGAAATATTCTCTTCAGGAACTTCCACCTGCACTGGCATCACGCCTAAACGTACCTGCAGCTTCGGAATACACACCAACTCAAAGCAACAACATTTCAAGCTTACAGAAATACAGCCAAGTGACTGCTCTGGTATGGCTCAGCGCACACATGGAAAACCAGATAGCTGGCAGTCTGGTCCTCTTCAAAAGGAGCTATTTCAGCTTGGGGCAGTCACTGACAGTCAAACAGAAGACTAAGCAATAAAAATCATGCATCTGCCAAGATTAGGACCATAAAAATGGCAAGACTTCATAGATTATAAATAAGAATACTGCAAAATTGAAACTGGCTGATCGATTATCTAAAGCAAGTCAGCGCAAACTCTATGACTGAATAAAGAAAACACAAAGAAAATGCAGATTAGGAGAGGCAGAACGATTTTTTACAAGAATTCTGAAGACTGGAGATTATGCAAGGAACTTAATCCTGCACAGACCAAGTGATAACACTTGGCCATCCAAGGCTGTCCAGCATTATAAACTCTCTTCTGTTTCTATGACTGCATGACATTCTCTTCAGTGCAGTCCTCCCAACAACATCAAATTGTTTTTCCTTATATTTCTGAGGGACACTGACTGTTATAACAACATCTGGCTAAGTGTCCATCTCCAAAGGCTGCATTGTGACTCTGACCTCACACACTTCTTACATTCATACATTATATCTATTCACCCAGAGTCAGTTAAAGTACAAACAGATTCTTTTTACGTATTTGTCCACCTACACATCCACAGTATTCTTCAAGCTTTCCCAACAAATCAGGCAGCCGTTCTGCAGCAGACAGCTCCATTTATCCAAGCTTAACTCCTTCCAGAAGGGGTCTGCCCAGAGTAAAGTAAGGGTCATGTGGGGCAGTGAAAAAAAATCACCACGATTCAGAAGAAATTATGGTTACAAAGGCATTCTTATTCTCACCATTTAATAACATTAAGGATTTTTTTTTTTTGTCTTAAAAGCATTCTCCATAATACAGAGGGCATATGGCCAAGAGGGACTGGGTATTTTCCTTAATTCCCCCAAGTACCTGAGTAGCCTTACCTGTGTGTCTCAATCTACTGCTCACTTTCAGAAGAAACCTTGCTTCCTTACTAAAGTCTGCAGTTCAACTATGCCTGACTTTTACTTGACAGGAATAAAAAAATACCCACCCACTAGGATAACAGCAGCTACGTGGGCACTGGTAAGTACTGCAAGGACACAAGCATTCGCTGTACGCTGCAGCAGTTTAGTACTTCCAGCTCGTCTCTCCTGCAGACCCTAAAGATGCTTTCTTTCGTCTTCCAGTAAGAAAACTGCATGCACACATACCCTTCCACCACAGGAGGTTTTTCTGTTTCCCTTTTGCTGTCAAAGACGACAGAGCTGCACAAAGCAGGCCTAGGCTGCTGCCTGCGTACCAAATAAATGCCAAGATTCCTTCCCCCCTCCGCCCTTCCCCTTCCTCCAACTTCACTCGGAGCAGCTGACAACTGCCGAAGCCGGGGGGAGGAGGGGAACGACGGGGGAGAGACAAGGCCTACACATGCACAGAAGGAGGCGACCCGAAATCTCGGGCCAACGAGGAATCACATTAACCGCAGCCCGCAGCTCAGCTACAGGCAGACGTGACCCCAGGACACCTCCCCCGAACAGATAATAACAAAGAAAACAGAGGGGAGGAGGTAGCTGCCCCGCAGCGAGTTCCTGCTCCTCCCCTTACGCTGCTCCCAGCCAAAACAAGAGACCACAATGTAAACAGAGAGAAAACGTGCGTTTATGGCAAAGTGGGGGCCAGGGGCAGCCTCCTCCTTCCCTGCAGCAGCAGCAGCCAGTATCGCCCACCGCTGTGTGCGGGGCGACGAGCAAAGTTAGCCTGCACCTCACACACTTCACTTATGTAAACAACGTATTTTCCCCTCGCTGCTGCCACACCACCTCTTCTCCCGAAATACCCTTCCTTAGCCCTCAGGGTTTTCTTGAAACAAACCAAAACAACACGTTGCCTCACATCCCTCTTGCCTCCTCCAAAACGCCTCGTCCTGGAAGATGCAGCCCCAACCAGGCCCTGAGGTTACTAGGATTCGGGAGAAAACCCGTTTCTCAGTGCATTTCCTCAAAGGCAAACCCCCAGCCGTCAGGAGGGGTAGGCGGGCAGGTCGCACAGCCGCAGCGGGGGCCGAGCGCTGCCTCCACCTTACCTCTAACTCGACACCCTCCCACTCCCCCTATCTCCAGATTTCAAGGCTGGAGCCTTCCCCCACCCCCCCCTGTCCCCGTCCCCTCACACCTGCCCTGGACCTCGACAACTACACCAACCGCCCCTCCTCCCAACCCTTTTTGGTCCAGAAACTATTTATTACTCAGGCGGCAAAAGGATGCGGGGATGGAGGGGGGAGCCGGGTAAAGGAGGAGGAGGAGGAGCAGGCTACCAAGGGCCCCCGCCCGCCGTTCCCACCCCGAAGAGGCGAGCGGCACCAAGCCATCGCCCTGTCCCGGCTGCACGAAAACAACCTTCCTTTCCCTCCCCCTCTCCACCCCCCGCGCCTCAACGCGCGCCTGCGTGCGGGGCCAACCGGACAACGGCAACCGCAGGGATCGGGAGGGGGGAAGGGGCGGGCAGGGGTCAGTCTCCCGCGCTCCCCACATCACCCCACAGCCGCTACTCACCGTCCCGGCTGTTCCCCCCTGCGAAGCACTGCACAGGCAGGGAACCCTGTTCTGCGGCCCCCTTCCCCCCTTCTTCCCCCTTTCCTCCTCCTCCCACCCGCGGGACACTCACCCGTTCTGCAGCGGATCCCGGACTCTGCGCGGGGCAGCAGCAGCGAGATCCGCCCTGTGGTGAAATGCAGACGGGAACGGCAGCGCAGGTGACCGCCAAGGGAGAGAAGGGTTGCGTGCCCCCGGCGTTATCCTGGCCTAGCGGAGGGGCCCGCGGGCCGCTGGTGTCGGTGTGAGAGACGGCGGGAGAGAGGAGGGGCCCCAACAGCTGAGAGGATGTAAACAGACGGTCACGTGACCCTACTTCGAACGGCCGGTTCCCCTCCGCGCCACGGGGCGGCTTGAAAGGGGGAGGAGGGGGAGGTGAGCCGCTCCGCGGTCAGACGTGGTTGGCTGAGCGTTGTGAGCCTGAGAGCCAATGAGGGGGCGGCCTTCACGGTGCTCGTCAGCAGTCGCCTGGGGACGCAGGGATCCTTGCGCTAGCGGTAGCGCCCGGCCACAGGCTCGCCCTCCCACGGGGCGGGCAGCCCGTGTGCCCGCGGCCGGTGGTGCTCCTGAGGGCAGCGGAGGAAGGGCTTGCGCGGCTGGGGGTCGGGGCAGGCCGCGGGGAGCAGAGCGGTAGCGCTGCAGGAGGGCGGAGGAGGACACTCGGGCCCGGCTGTTAGAAAACGCTTAGATGTCTGGTGTCCGGCAGGGCGAGGAAAGTGATCATTCCCATGCACTCGGCACTAGTAAGGCCGCGCCTCCAATACTGAGTTCATTTCTTGGCCCCTCACTACAAGAGAGAGAACGAGTTAATGCAGCGGCTCCAGAGAAGAGCAACAAAGCTGGATGAAGGACTTAGAGCGCAAGTGTGATGAGGAGGGGCTGAGGGAAGTAAGGGTTGTTTAGTCTGGAGAAGAGAAGGCTCAGGGTGGACGTTATTGCTCCAGGAGCATCCTCCTGGATGCATCCTCCAGGAGGATGGAGACAGGAGGTGGCTGGTCTTTTCACCCAAGTAACAGATGATAGGACAAGAGGAAACGGCCTGAAACTGTGCCAGGGGAGGTTTAGATTGGTTATTAGGAAAAATTTTCTTCACCAGAAGGGTAGTTAGGCATTGGAACAGGCTTCCAGGGAAGTGGTGGAATTGCCATCCTCGGAAGTGTTCAGGAAACATGTAGATGAGTCTCTTCCTTACATGGTTTAGTGGTGAACTTGGCAGACTGGGGTAAAGACTGGACTTGATGATCTTAAAGGTCTTTTCCAACCTGGTTGATTCTGTGATTGTTTTAAATGGCTCTGCTTTCACCTTGCCTCCTCATTTTATGGCATTTTTGCCTTCCTCCAACAAGCAGAGGCAAGGTGGAGGCCAGCATCTCTTCAGGTGCCACTTCTGTAAGGCCTCTCACAATGGGGGTGGCACAGCCTCTCCCTGGAGAAAGGCCTTGAGGTTTCAGTGTTGCCAATGCTTCAAAAGATGAGATAGTTTGAAAAACTGCAGGGAGGAAGAGAGATCCCAGAGAAAGCTCAGAGGAATTTTGGGAAGGAGGAAGTACTGTGGAAGGGAATAGACAGGAGTAAGCTGAGTTCAGGCTACCCTGGAGCCTCTGTGCAAGTAGGTGAAGGCCAGGTGTTCAAAAGTATTGGGTCATTCTGAGCTCTGAAGTGAGGTTCTAAAGTCATCATCTCCTGTTTGGTGTGAAAGGGGACTGGAAGAATGACATGAGTTTTGGGAAGTCAGAGGGTAGGGAAAGTAGGCTGCTTCTGATGTTTGAAGAGTTAAAAGTACACAGGCGTCAGGACTTGCAGCAGCGTGGCTAATCAGCTTTCCATTGAGGAAAGGAATGAGAAACACCAGAGATCAGTATCAGAAAATGGATTATGTTTACATTTGTGGAGGAGTAAATTCATATTCATCAAATGATCAGGCAAAAGGTGCAGTGTTTATGGATTTCAGGCTACCAGATACAGAAGCCTGAACACCTAGAGTGGATTTTATAGTAGAAACACCAATTTAAGTAACTTGGTGACATTTTCAATGATAATTTATCTGGAATGATTTAAGCATTGAGAGTTTTATGAAATGCAGCTGAGAGGCATAAAGTTTTGAGCTCTAGCCAAAGTTTGAGTACTGGTGGAACAGGATTTCTAAGTGAAATCCCTGAGAAATGAGGTGCACATAAATGTAGATGGTAAGAGGCCAGGAATAAGTATTACTCTGCTGTAGGGTGGAATTACTTAATACCTGTGGGACACAATGGTTATAGATGGCAACAACTGAGGTGGAACTAATTTGCAACATAAGGGGGAGAATTTCTGCTAGGCAATGTCTGACAATTCTGTCTTTTTTTAGCTGGACTGAAGGATTAACATAGTCCTACAAGTTGCCATGCTGTTGCTTCTGTAACTGATGCCTTCTTGCATGAGAGAAGTGGAGGGTAAGAGAAACAAATTTCATTTTTACGTTAAAATACGTATTGCCCTCAGATAGTAAACTTAAATAATTTTTTGCTGGATTTGAGTATTGAGTATTTTTTCCTATTAAGAATTTTTAGAGAGATGTTATAAGTGTGTATAATTCCCTGCCTGTTGTATGGATGAGGATTTCCTGGGTTTCATTCCCTCTCTCTTTCATCACATCCTACATCTTGTGCATGACCAACACACACTTGTTACTTGTCAAAGTGCACTTAATCAATATTCACTCAGGACAGGAGTTATGACCGTATTTTGCTCCTTTAATTTTAAGAGAATTTTTCAGATATTTTTTTTCCCTGTGTATTACTGTGTAATGCTTGAACTGATACAATTTTTTTCCATTTACAGTGGATATGGGCATCCATTTAGGAAGATCATTCTGCTGCCTTCTCTCAGAGTTGAAGCTTCAGCATTCAGGTCTAGTAAAAAATTCTACTCAAGCATGTATGATTCTCCAAATCTCTTAATTTGTGTTGTCCATTGTCAAACTACAAGCAAGATTCATGTTTTCTGTTGCAGTATATAAATTCTGCCTCTTGGTGTGAAAGATATTTGCTGTCACAGTATTTTAGAGATATGCATAATGTGGATAACCCTTTTTTAGTGTAAGTTAATATTCTTAAAAAAAATACTATTTCAGCCTAAGTATTACATGACAGCTCTGTATAAAATGCTTGAGTTAAAACCCATGTGCAGCACTACTTAGTTGAAGTACAGTGAACATCCTTTCACCCTCAGAAAACAATGGATTGCCTAGGCTAGCATGCTCCCAAAACTTCATTATTCTGTGAAAGTTTGGGAGTTTTTTACTGCCTGTGTAGATTTAAGCATTAGTTACTCTTTTGATACTTTGTCCTGATAGCTCTTCTAGGCTGAACTAGATTAAAAGCTCCAGTTTGTCTTCGTTCTGTGCTGTTTGTGAAGGTTTTGGCATTCAGGCGCCTAATAGAAAAGCATGTAATCAAGGCTGCCATTTTTTAGATAAATTTGAAATTGCTACTAGTGATCATTAAAGTTAAGCATTGAAACTAAACTGATAGTGTATTGAGCAGAAAATTATATATGTACAACAATTTCCAAATAAAGGTGATGTCATATAAGTTGAGTAGTTATGTGCATTTATTTTCTTATTTATACAGAAAAAACCTGGGGTTTCGACTAAAACAGCATTTTGGCCTTCCTGGAATTGGCATTAGCTTAAAAGTAGAGTGGTGCGAACTGCATGTGTTGAATATAATGCTGTTAACATAAAAAATAACAACATATAATTTACACTGCTTATATTTTTTGCATATCTCTGTTTAGTTAATTAAAACCATTTAGGTATTACATTTTAGTTGGCTTGATTTCAGTCAGTTTCAACTTTATGTTCAGTGTTACTGAATAACTTCTAAAGTATTTTCAGATGCTACAGAAAATACATACTAAACAAGTATTTTTCTTGAAAACTTATTTTTAGTTGATTTACTATGTCTGTTTTGCATGCCTTCTCAGACTGCTATCGTCCTGATTATTCTTGTCTTCATACAATATATGCATTGAGCTTTTCTGTCTCTTCTTAATTTTTCTTTTCATTGTCTTCTTTCTTTTCCTTTATTTTTAGTGGATTTTCTTTCTTGACAAGCTTTGACTGGTCAGTTTTACAGGTGTAGAGTACAAAAAAATATGTGCTATATAAGTAGCAGTTGCAGTTTTCTGCAACTCTGCTCTCTAGAATAGATATCGCTCCTGGCAATTGTGTGCAAGGTCCTGCACATGCGTCAGTGGAATCCCAAGCACAAACACAGGGTGTGTGGAGAATGGATTGAGAGCAGCCCAGAGGAGGACTTGAAGGTGTCGGTTGACAAGAAGCAAAACATAACTCGGCAATGTGCATTTGAATCCCAGAAAGTAAACCATATCATGGGCTGCATCAAAAGGATCACGGCCAGCAGGTTGAAGGAGGTGATTCTCCCCCTCTGCTCTGCTCTTGTGAGATCCCACTTGCCATACTGCATTCAGCTCTGGGGTCCCCAACACAAGAGGGACATGAACCTGCTCAAGCGAGTTCAGAGGAGGCCACGAAGATGATTAGAGAGCTGGAGCACCTCTCCTATGAAGACAGGCTGGGAGAGCTGGGGTTGTTCAGCCTGGAGAAGAGAAGGCTCCAGAAAGACCTTAGAGCAGCCTTCCAGCACCCAAAGGGGGACTACAAGAAACCTCGAGAGAGACTTTTTGCAAGGGCCTGTAATGATAGGACAGGAGGTAATGGCTTTAAACTGAATAGAGGGTAGATTCAGATTTAGGTATAAGAAGAAATTTCTTTACTGTGAGGGTGGTGAACACTGGAACAGGTTGTCCAGAGAAGCTCTGGCTGCCCCATTTCTGTCAGTGTTCAAGGCCAGGTTGGATGGGACTTTGAGCAATTAATTTAATAGTGGACAGTGTCCCTGCCTGTGGCAGGTTAATTGGAACTGGATGAGCTTTGCCTTCCAACCCAAAACATTCTGTGACTCAGGTGAATACAGTGAGCATGCACTTAACACTGTGTCATATGTTGCCATTGGTGTAGCCTGTTTCAGATAGAGGGCTCTGAAATGAGGAACTGTTGCTGTGGCTTTGTTCTGTCTTGCAGACTTGGTCTTCCCACACTGACATTTGTCTCAGAGCAAGAAATGCTGTATTACTGAGAAAATTATAAGTAACACAAAGGGAAAATTAATTAAATAACTGCTGGGAAGCGGTTTCTTTTACTCTGAATGTTTGGCCTGCCTATCATACTTTTAAAATGTTTCATTTTGTATTCTTTGCTCCAAGATACTGGAGTGTACCTTCTCATCTGTGATTCTCATCTGTAGCCCAGCAGCCACCATGCTATTTCCAAAGCTTTATAGTAAGTAGTGTTCAAGTTCCCAGGAAGAGAACTGGATCAGCCCCCAGCTCAGAGTGCCAAACCGAAGCTGAGTGCATTCAGTTGCGCATACAGCACCAACCCACTCATAGATATATGAATATGTAATTGGGTAGTCTGACTGCACAGCCATGTGTCACACTGTAACCCCCAGCTTTGAAGAGTAGAGAAACAACAAGAAGGCTTCAAAGGCTGTTGATGCAGATTTCTGAAACTGCCTACACAGCTATGTAGCTGTGCTCCTTTCAGGTGAGACCTGGATCTGGAAGTAATTTAGTCACATTTATATGGTGTTGCTTTAACAGGTGAGACTTGAAAGATTTCAGGCATAAGACCGGAAGGATCTACACATGCAAGTTCTAGTGTCTCTGCACCTTTGGCCTTGTTAATCTGCAATTGGGATGAACAAACTCAGCATAACTGTTTTAGGTAAAAGTGGTTGTATGTTTATCAAACTTTAGATCAGAATAAGGTTTCCCAAAAGTGCCAGAGCTATTTAATTGAAAAAGGCATCTTCAAAAAGGACTAAATCACCATTTGCTCCAGGCCATGTCTGTGTGCCACGTTGCTTCACAGAATGTTACTACTGGTCTGTAAGACTTCTTAATTTTCTTTTAGAACTGCACACTGTCCCTCTCCTGTCCACTTCAGAAAAGCAGTTGGTACTGTAACCTTGCTAAGGTAGGAATAGAGATTTTCTTTGCTGTAGATTTTGAAATACACTCTTTTCAGACATGAATTGCATCAAGCAATTGAACAGTGTTACACATGCTGTATGTAGATCATGATCACGCTCCTCTGAAGCACACAGAGTCAGTTCTAAGGAAAATGTGTTGGGGCTTGAGTCACATACATATATTTGGAATACCTGTAATCTATCAGTGCATTCCACCTCTTATGCCCTATTTAAGTGATCACAACTCTTACATGCTTTATCAGGCAAAATGTAATACAATAGTAGCTTCTTTTGTTGCCCTGAGTAAGCAAGAATAGCATGATAATTACCAAAAGTTATGTGCCTCATACATCTGGCTAGGAGAGTGTAGGAGGCTTTTCTTCTCTTGCCGTGAAATCCTCTGCTAGGTCAGTATTAGCACTCTAAGGCCTCCTGGAGCAGCCATGTTGGGAGTGCTCCTGGCTGCCCGACAAAGCTTGGCACAGAGACAAGTGTTATTTTAGCTGTCACAACATAAGCTATGCTGAGTTCATATTTTTAAACATTCAAAACACATGCTAGAAGAGAAAAATATTAAAAATAAAAATGACTGAAATGAACTGGAAAATGAAATACATGGAGTTTGTGGCCAACAAAAAGACACAGGTCTTAAGGATGTGTTTCTCATGATCAGCTGTCTGGTCTTCTTCACATTACTTTTCCAATTTACTGCTTGTGATTTTTGTGTTAAGAACAAACCTGAGATTGTAGCAATGGAAGGGTTCCAGTGGTCTGTAGTCGCTGATAAATGTATAACTAAATGTTGTTCATAAACAATAAATCACATCTAGAGAATGGTTGACGTACTGTAAAATGTAGTTATGCATTCAAGTATAAAAAAAAAACTTTTAGAATTTTGTATCAAGACAAGTGTTTATCATTTATAGAAGTAACCTGTTCATCTGTCATGATATTTTACAAATAATAGGGCATATTACACAATTCTTCCCTTTTGAAAGGTTTTCATTTTCATTACTTTTTTTTTTTTCCCATGACGGGAAAATAAATGTCTTCCTTTAGTGTTTTTGCTTTCAGCTATTTGAAACTTATCTCAGAGGTATATTAGGGTACAAAATGAATATGTCAGCAGAAAGTGTCATATATTATCACCTCTGTCCTAGTCATTGATTGTAAACTGCAAGCACGAGACATTCTCCATGGAAATATGTTGATTTGTCTCTGACTGTAGCTGACAGTGAGTCAACAACAGACTCTTTTTGTCATCCTTTTCTTAAATCAATAGGGTGTTTTGCTAAATTTATAATGCTATTTTTTTAGAAGCAACATAGTCTTTTGAACTGAGAAAAATCATATGCCACCATGATTAATAGTTTGAAGCCAAACAGTCTTTTCTTGAATGAGTCATGTTAAAGGAAGTTGCTGTATTTTGTATCTTAAATAATAGCAAAAATTTTGTTCTGATGTAGATAAATGTCAGGATTTTGCCTGTAATTTTGTCTGGTTTTGTTAGTCAAATATGGAAAAATATGTAATTTAACTTATATGAATTAACATTTAACTTGTAGAGCCTTTCTTCTGTATATGGGCTGATAATACACTATCATTAGTTCTCTTACTGATAGTCAGCTGGCCTATGCATAATAATTTCAGAGGCTTTTAAGACCAACCACTTACTTGGAAGGACAATCTACTAGGTATCTTTCTTACACAGAATTGTGGAACCATAGAATAGTATGGGTTAGAAGGGACTTTCAAAGGTCATATAGTCCAGCCCCCCTGCAATGAGATCAGGTTGCCTAGAACCACATCCAAACTGGCCTTAAATGTCTTTGGGAATGGCACATGTACCACCTCTCTGCAGAACCTGTTGAA